TTCCAACCTAATTTCATATTAATCCCCTACTCTCACTGCTCCCTACTTACAAACTAGATAATTCTCTGTCCCCCTCAACACTCTACTTTCTGACCTTTCCTCGCCTTTGCTTGCCATTCCCTATGCCGAGAATGTCTTCCTCTTCTCACCCCTCTTGATTACTTAATTCTTACTCATTCTCCCTCTAAAGTACAGCTCAAACCTCCTCCTCAAAGACTTCTTGGATGTGCTGACTGTCCAAAGTGATCTCCCGTTTCCTGTAGCACTCTGTTTTGGTCTTTCACACACTTACCATGTAGAATTTGTGCTCTGGCTTTCTGAGTTGGTATTTTATGTCCCTACTAGACTCTAAGCTCCATGAAAGTAAGGACTATATCTTATCTAAACTTTCTATCCCTGCTCACCGGACAGCACCTACCAGTGTTCACAATGAGGCAGGTGCTTAATAAATGCTTTTTTTTTTTGTACTTTATAAAACTTGTAAAACTATAATTCAGGTAACATTTTGAGCTTGAACAGATTTTTAGGACTCATCTTAACTGAATAGAACATAGTGCTAATGCAAACCCAAAGAGCCAACTGGATCCTAGATTGCATTAGTAAAAGCATGGTATCCAGAAGAAAGAAGTTGCTGCTTTGTAACAACGAGAGGATAGTATACTCTACTGTAGGCAAACCACATCTGCAGTGTTATGTTTTATTCTGTGTGCCATATTTTAAACCAAACATTGACAAACTGGAGCAAGGTAGAGGGCAAACAGGATGACAAGGGGTCTGGAAACCATATCACATAAAGAACATTTAGAGGAACTGAGCTTGTTTAACACAGAAAAGAGAAGCTTTAGGGAAGGTATGATGGCTGTCTTCTCATATTAAAAGGGTTGTTTTGTGGATAAAAGATTACATTGGTTCTGCGTCATTCCAGAACTAGGACCAAAGGGCGAAAGAAGGAGATGATATTTGGCCCAATATAAAGAAGAAACTTTCTAGCAATTCAAACTGTCCAAGAATGGAATGTACTGTTTTATGAATTAAGTTTCCTGCCACTGGGAGTGTTCAAGGAGAGGATGGATGGTCATCTGACCCAGATGTCAGAGGAGAGATTCCTGCACAGCTCAAATACCACCTCCCCCACAGGCCAAACTTTTCTCCTAGATAACCTTAGAGGTCCCTTCCAATTCTAGCCTCTACAATGGTTTGTCATTGGCACATCATTTACTTGTACACAAGTTACACTTTGAGGTGCTTGAAAATGGTTTCATCACCTACAAAATGAGGGGGCTGGACCCAATGGGCTCTTTCTGGCTCTAATTCTATGATTCTGTGAAAGATTTTCCAGGAATTTCATTTTGTCTATTTTTTTTTAAAGAAAGATAATACAATACAATTCCATTTAGCAAACATTTATGAATGGGGGCACCAACTTTATACAAGTCACTGTACATGATTCCAACTCAGTAAGAACAATTGGTGCTATACACCTACCATTCACCAGTGCCTTCTAGTGCATTCCCTCTGTTAATTATTTCCTATTTATTCTGTACATAGCTTGGTTATACGTATTTGTTTGCTTGTTGTCTTCTCCATTAGACTGTGAGCCCAGTTGACTGTTTATTTGTATCTCATACTCTCAATCACACTTATTAATAACATTGTCTTTAAACTCAATAAGCATTTATTAAGTGCTTATTATTTATTACATATTATGCCAGGCTCTGTGCTGGGTTCAGGGGATATAATGATAAAAACTAAATAGTCTCTGCCCTCAAGAAACTGACATTCTCCTGGGAAGATACAACATCAATTAATCAACATTTATTAAGCACCTACTATGTGCCAAACACTGTGCCAAGTGCTAGGGATACAAAAAGAGGAAAAGGACAGTCCCTGCCCTCAAAGAGCTCACAGTTTAATGGGGGAGACAACATGAAAACAAATACATACAAAGCAAACTATATATAGGATAAATAGGAAATAATTAAAATAGGGAAATCACTGGGATTAGGAGGGGTTGGGGAAGGCTTCCTGTAGAGGGAGGGATTTTAGTTGGGATTTAAAGAAAGCCAGGGAGGTCAACAGTCAGAGAGAAGCAGGGAAAGCATTCCAGGCATGGAGGACAGGCAGACAAAATGCTCAGAGCTGAGAGATATACACAGGTAAGTAGGAATAAACCAATACAAAGTCATAAGTGATAGAGAATACTATCAATTTGGGATTGAGAGGAATCAGGAAAATCTTTGTGCAAGAGATAACACCTGCTTAGAAAGTATCCAGGAACTCTAAGAGGTAAACTGAGATAATAGTGCAGTGCAGACCTTTAGGAGCTCCTGTGCAGATATGTGGAGGCAAGTGAGAGAATGTTGTGTAAGGGTAATACCCCCCAACCAGGCCAGTTTGACAAGAAGAATAGAGAGGGCATGAAGGGGAGTAATCTCACTTCACTTCTCTCCCAGCTTCACTCCTGGACTTTTCCACTTTCTGCCCAGTAACCTTCTCCCCCTGGAGAGGCTTCCAGCTCTGGAGCCTTCCCCTCTGATGGGAAGTTCCTGCCTGGCACAACCAGGCAACCCAAACTCCCCTCTCTCCTGCTTCATTCTTAACTCTCAGTGCTTTTCTACCTTCTTCATTGTACTCTAGTCCTACTTATGAGTTATCTTCCTCTGTTAGAACGTAAGCTCCATGAGGGTAAGAGACTTTTCTTTCTTTCTTTCTTTCTTTCTTTCTTTCTTTCTTTCTTTCTTTTGCTTATATTTGTACACCCTGAATTTAGTATATATTTCTAGCACATAATAATTATTTAATTAGTGCTATGTCCATCCATTCTTTCATCCATCTATCTATGTATCTATTTGCTTCATAACTCTGTCTCTCTGTCTCTGTCTCTCTCTGTCTCTCTTTTGTTCTTTTTCTGTCTCTGTCTGTCTGTCTCTCTCACAAACACACACACACACACACACACACACACACACACACACATACGCTAAGACTGGCAAGGTTGGCAAGAGCCAGATTTTAGAGGATCTTAAATGCCAGACAAAGGAATTTGTATTTTTCCTAGAAGCAACAGGAACCCCTGAAGTTTTTTTTCAGTAAAGTAGTGATACAGTTAGATGCCTTAAAAATAATCGCCTGTATGGAGAAAGTAATTAGGTCCACCCACATCAGCTTGGCCACTTCCTGAATTATTATCCATTCTCTATTAATGGAGTCTGAGTTGTGGGGATTTTGCCATTTATAATGATTGCCTCTCTTTGTGTCCCGAGCACTTAGCACAGTGCTTGGCACATAGTAGGTGCTTAACAAATGTTGATTAGTTGATGTATCTTCCCAGGAGAATGCCAGACTCTTGAGGGCAGAGACTATTTAGCTTTATCTTTATGTCCCCAGCACCCAGCACAGTACCTGGCACATATACTGATTGTAAAAAGAACCACATAACTCAAAGGAGACTGACCAAGCCAAGTGCCTGGGAAGTATACTATTCAACCTGTTGGAACTGGACCCACATCTGATTGTAGTCATCTGGCTATTCTCCTTAAGTTTCATTGACGGAAATTACAGAAAATAGAAAACAAATGATGTAAATACCTTTTAACAGAATTTCAAAGAGTGTCCTGACTTTTGCCAAGTGACAGAGTTACAAGGCCTCTCCTTGGAACACTCCTCTCTCAAAAGGGCAGTTTTATTGCTTGGTTTCATTTCCCAGACCAGTTCTGTTCTCTTCATTGATTCCCCCATATTCCTTAAATGTATTAAAATGTCAACTTCTTAGCATTCATCATCTTTACAGCCATGTTCCCCATTTTCCAGAGGCAACTTTTTCTATTACATTTGTCTTAGGAATGGTCTCATTACTTTCATAAGTTTACACACTTTTATTGTTCCATTAGGAACACCCCACCCTTCACCCACTGAACAGTATCTAGTCAAAGGAATAAAATATGTTCATTCACTAGGGATCTCGACATTCTTCCCAAAGCTGATCATATAAATAATAGAAATTCTCCAGAGGTCCTGGCCAGAGAATATCAATAAAAAATGAATTCGGATCTTCAGAAAGTGGTGGCAGCCTCTGGAAGAAAATTTCCTGACTAGTTTTCAGCCCATTAAGTCTGACCAGAAGGGGATTCTCCAGGAACATGCCCTCACCTTCTGTTTCACCATCTACATTTTGATTGACTAAGAACATTCACAGGATTCCTAACCCATTAAGTGTCTTTTGGATTGAAGTCAATCCTGTCTGGAAGTGAGGAAACTACATGTAGAAGCAAATTACCTGCATGAATGAATCCTTGGTAAAATATCTATAATGTGGACACCAGCCTAAAACTTGGTTTCACTTCAGGCCTAGAAGTTTCTACAAATGCTCCTCCTGTCCTTCAAGGGAGAAATTTCCCTGAGGGCAAGGGGGTATGGTGTTTCTAGGTGTGAGTAGATCTTGACTTTATGATAATCACAATGACAACTGATTTTTCTATAGAGCTTTAAAGTTGGCAAAATACTTCACAATGATTATCACTTTTGAGCCTCATAATCATCTTGTTGGGCATATACTATAGATGCTGTTGTACCCATTTTATAGATGAAAAAATTGGGGCTCATAAAAGTTAAGGTCCTTGCCCAAGATCATACAACTAGCCAGATATGTTTTTTAAACCAGATCATCCTGATTCTAAGTCCAGGACTCTATCCACTGCACTACCTGTTGTTATCTTCAGAATTGATCAATATGAACCATGGAGACATTTTTGGTTCTTGAGTACCCAGGACAGCAGCCAACATAATTGAGTGCCCCTCTCTTCCCATACTTAGAGAAGGGCTGTGCTCTCACAGGAAGGTCAGAAAACCCACAAGACAAGAACATTAAATACTTTTTTCATCTCTCTCTCTCACCTCAAAGCATTAGTTGTAATTGGGGGGTGGGGCAGGAACACAAGGGGCCATTCCCTTGTCTCTCAGTGTTATGAAAGGCATAACTCAGCAACAGTTGAGGAATCTACCTTTGTCCAGTCATAAGTCCCGGTGATGATAGATGTTCTCTGGTGTTTTGTCCAGATCCATCTTAAACAACTTAAGAGAACTGGATATTCACCTTGTCCAGTGGGAGATGATTCCATTGTCTAGACCTAGGAGGTCACATAGTTTGAGAGTTCAGTCCATATGTACCTTTAAAAAAATCATTTGGTTTATAACTCTTTAGCCTCAGAAAGTAAACTCAATACCCAAAATGATTGTGCCTTTAGCAAATGAACATGCTGTTACTAAATCATCATCAGTTAAGAGGGAGGACTCACCTCTAGGCAGAGTTTCAGAGCTCAGCAGGACCATATAAGATTAGGAAGCCAAAATGCAGGTAGTGCTGTGACCTTGACTATTTGTATGACTTGATTTGATGCCTCAAAGTTTTGGGTTTGGTTTTGTTTTTTCTAGTGGTAAGTATTCTCTACTCCAATGCTTCACTCCCCTCTCCTCTCCTATCCTGCCACCCCCACCCCCACATGCTATTGCATCTACCAAACCTCCTTCTAATTCAGTTTCTTGGGCATGGAGTCAGGAAGACTCCAGTTCAAATCCAGCCTCAGACACTTATAAACTATGTGATCCTCCTCAGCAAGTTACTTAACCTCCGACTCAGTTTCCTCAACTGTGAAATTGGAATTATCATAGCGCCTACCTTCCAGGTTTGTTGTGAGGATCAAATGAGATAACAGTTATAAACTTAGTCCAGTGCCTAGTATATAGTAAATGCTTAATAAATACTTATTCCCTTCCCCCTCCCCCTTCTTCTTTTCTGCCCCTGTTTCTGCTGGGCCCTGGGCATGTGCATAAACATCAAATGATATGTATAGCAAGAATCATTCAATGTCAGAACTCAAACTTAGGACTTCTGACTTTCCAAGACTGTAAAATAAGTTGTATTGATCTTCCTATATGTTCTTATTCAGTCTCCATTGTGACCAATGGTATGCAACCATGATACAGTTAGTTCTCATTAGGACTGCAGTTTGTGACTATGGGACATTTTAATCAGTGATTCTGATAAAAGCATAGATGGCAAGCTCTTCACCTTTCCCAATGATCCAAAGCTGGCAGGAATAGTGAACGTACTGGATGATAGAGTTAGGACGCAAAAGGATCTTGACAAGTGACAGTGGTTTCAATCTCAACTAGAAATAGATCCCCACAGCTGCATATTGACTTAGAAAACTACAAGTTAACATTATCTATATCGTACTGTATTTTTATTTATTTTGTTAAATATTTATCAGTTGCATTTTAACCTGGTTCCTGCTGTGTTCAGGAGTGACCGACACTGACCATGAGTTTGGCATCTCAGCTCTAGATTATCGTGCTAAATCGGCTACTATATCAATAAGAATAAATATAAAGTTTTGCACTTTAGCACATACTCAGGCTCTTCTGCTCTTTTCCTTGCAAGATTATTTCTCATGAGTGTGTGTGTTTTTGTTTTGTTTTGTTTGCATTATCATAACCAAGAAAATTAGGAACAAATGATGCCCAAGCCCACTTAAGTGAAATTTGTGTAAACTTAAGGACCTTGATCCCAATTTTTAACAGGCTTTCCATAATGATTTAAGTTACATAATTGAGTTATGACATTATCTCATGATATCTTGACTTTAATCATTTTGATCTCAAAACTGGTAGTATTCCTTACCTAGTATTTTGTAACTAATTCCATAAGTACAAGATAGAGAAGGTACAGACAGCTGTTGTAATTGTTGTGTTGTTTGTCCTTCATTCTCCTAGAGGACCAAGACATCAGGAAGGGATGCCATAACTTGCAAGTGAATTGGATTTAAGTGAAGAGGTTTATGCAAAGTAACCAGTCTCACGAGTTCTTCTGAAAAGCACATAGGGAGTTGGGGAGTTGTCAAGCTCCATAAGCGTCAGCAGGGTGATGTGGCAGACGAAAGTGCTAATGCAATCTTGGGCTCCATTAGGAGGCCATACCTTAGAGGAACAGGAAGGTGAGAATGCCACTGTATTGTGCCCTTGTCAGACCTCAGCTGGAGAATTCTGTTCAGGTCAGAGCACCATGCTTTAAGCAAGACCTTGATAAGCTAGAGGGTGTCTGGAAGATGGCAACCAGCATGGTGATGGCCCTGGAATTTATGACACATGAGGATTAGTTAAAAAAAAACTGGGCATATTTAGCCTGGTGAAAAGAAGGTTTGGGGGGAACATGATACCTATGTTCAAGTATTTGAATGGCTGTCATATGGAGTTCTGTCATTTGTTCTTTTTAGTCTTAGAGGGCAGAATTGGGAGCAATAAATGGAAGGTGAAAAGAGGCAAACTGAGACTTAATGTCAAAAAAAAAATGTTCTGACAATAAAAGTTGTCCAAAAATTAAATAGGAGTTTTTCTCATAAATTGGCAGGTATCCCCTTGTTGGAGGTCTTCAAACATCAAGTATGTATTAATGGCGATTCCTTCATGTATAAGTTAGACAAAATGGTCAATTAAGTCCCTTCCAATGCCCTAATTTGGTGATTATATGAACAGAATTGTTCCCTGTGCAAATGGCCCTCATAGAAATCATATTTAGCTTCTTTGCTTTGTTAGTCGCATCTCTAACCCATTCCCTAACAATATATTGGAATACTTAGGTTCATCACAGAGATGTTCCTCCTATGTCACAGACCTAGTACCAGGCTGACGTCAGTTCTATTTGCTAGTTTTTGGTTGGTGGTGTGAAATGTAGAGAAAGAAGGAAAATGGTCACAACCGTGGTGGAAAATGGAAGGAGGATGGCATGTGTGTGTGTGTGTGTGTGTGTGTGTGTGTATGAGTAGATGACTGGATCAATGCAAATCTATCCCCACTATTGAGAAAACAATTCAAATCACATCTTTCTGAAATTGTCAATAGCATCATTTCATTTTTGAAATGTATCAAAATCTCCCTCTTCCTTAAAAAAAATTTTCTTGACCTTGCTGTTCCCTCAAGCTCTTGCCCTATAGATCTTCTCTCTTTCATGACTAAACTCTCAGACAAGATTGTCTATGTATGTTATTTTTATTTCTTCACTTCCCACTTAACTTTTCAGTCCCTTGCAATCTGGTGTCTGACCCCACCAGTCAGCTGACGTGCTGTTTCCAAGGTTACTACTAGTCTCAACTGCTAAAAACCAATTTTCTTTTCTCAGGCTTCATTCTGCTTGAACTCTCTGCCACTATAGACCTTGTCAACCCTGCCCCCTTTCCTTCTGGCTACTCTCTCCTTTTAATTCCATGACACTGTTTCTCTCTCTCTCTCTCTCTGTCTCTCTTCCACTTGTCACCTCCAAGATTCTTTGCTAGATCATCTTCTATGTACCACTTCCTAAGTATGGCTACTCCTCAAAGTTCTCTAATGGGCTTTCTTTTTTTCTCTACCTTCTCTCTAGTGATCTCATCAACTTCCATGGGTTCATATGACCTTAGGATCATAGATACAGAGATATGGGGACTTCCTAGGCTCCCAAGTCCAAACCCCTCATTTCACAGAGGCAGAAAGTGAGGTCCAGGAAATGTGAGTGACTTGTCCTAAGTCAGATCACATAGTTAAAGCATCAGGAGCAGATTTTGAAATCAGGTTCTCTTGCCCTACAGTCAGCATTGTTTGCCATGTACCCATGCACATGACTCCCAAATCTATATGTGGGATCATAGATTTAGAGCTGGAAGAGAACTCAGAGATCATCTAAACCAACTCCCACATTCTACAAATGAGGAAATTGAAGCTTACAGATGTTAAGTAATTTGTCCAGGGTCATCCAGCATTTGAACTCAGGTCCTCTAATACAAATCCACAGAATCTGAGAATCAGAAGGAACTTCAACAGCCTTCCCATACATGAATATAGCATAACCACAGTAACACACTCAACAAGTGGTCATCCAGCCTGTTTGAAAACCTTTAAGGTGGAGCCACCATCACTACCTCTCAAAGTAGCCCCTCCCACTTTTGGATAGCTCTAAATTTTGGGAGTTTGTTTCCTGACATCAAGACCAGATTGGTCTCCTTTTAAGTTCCACCCATCGTTTCTGGTTCTACTCTTTGAGGCCAAAAAAACCAGTCTAATTCTTTATATGTCAGTCCTTCATGTACGTGAACATACCTCATGTGCTCCATGAGTCTTCTCTTCTCTGCTTTAAACATACCCACTGCCTTCAACTTATAGTCATAGGATTTGTATTCAATACCCTTTACCAATCTGATTGCTATTCTTCGGACATTTTCCATCTTGTCATGGTCCTTCTTAAAATGCACCTTTGTTTATTGAACACAATTATTACAGAGGAGATCTGATGAGGGCAAAAAATGTCCACCCCTAATTTCTCTCTTAAACTGCGATCTCATATTACTAACTTCTTGCTATCTATCAAACTCAACATATCCAAAGTAAGCTCTTTATATTTTCCATAAAATCATCCCTCCTCCAAAGTACTCTTTTAGTTAAAAGAGCCCCTGTCCTGCCATTAACTCAGTTGGGCAATTTTGGAATTATCATTGATTCTTCTCTCTCTCGCAAACCACATAGCCAATCACTGGCATAGCGCTCAGTAGATAGTAGTTGTTTGCTTAATAGATGCTTGTTGACTTGATTTCAGTTCCTAAGTTTTATAAATCCTGCCACAGTAATTTTTTATATTCAACCCCTTCTCTCTACTCACTTAGCCGCTATATTAATTCAGGTCCTCATCGTATCTTGCCTAGGCTATTGTAGTAGCTTGCTAATAGGTTGCTTCACTATCCAATTCATACTCCACACAGCTTCCAAATAAACTATCTTATCTTAGAGGCTATTCCAAACCTTTTTATCACCCTTCCCCCACCTTGAGCTTCCCATGGCATCTCTTCTCCCAAAACATTTTCTAGCTATGTTCAGTAGCACAAAGCTTTATTGAGGTGAATTAAATTGACAAGCAATCTTATCGTCCTATGTGTTTGAGATCATGGGACATGGTGGGACTGGCAGAGGGCAGCATGCTGTAATAGGCAGAAAGGACTTTGGACTTGGAATCATAAGACCTTGGTTTATCTCTTAACATTAATAATAATGATATTTAGCAATTATCTAGCACTTTAAGGTAAGCACTTTGCAAACATTTTGTTTTATTTTCACAACCCTGGGAGTCAGGTGCTATCATTACCCCCATTTGGTAGATGAGGAAACTGAGACGGCATTAGTGACTTTATTAGATTAAGTGACTTGCCCAGAGTCACATACCTAGTCAGTGTCTGAGACAGGATTTGAACTTGGGTCTTCTTGGCTCCAGGTGTAGCAATCTCTGTTATTTTGAACAGTTGATGACTTCCCCGAACCTCTTTTTCTGTAGCTATAAAATGAGAGGTCCATCTAGATGACCTATGTAGTTCTTTGGGGCTCTCAATCCTGTAATTCTAAGTTGTAGGGGAAGGGCCACTAGTGCACTTCAGTCTATCTCGTCAAGTTCACACATATATCACAGGATGGTATATATGGAGCACACTCATCTAAGGATCCGAGATAACTGAACATCCTCCAAACCCCTTCCTGGCTTCCACCAGCACAGACTGGGTAGTGGCTACTCCTGCTCACCATCAACCAGAGCACCTTTGAAATGGGCCTTGGTCTAGTCTACACAGCACCTCTCAAGAGCTCATTTCTTCCCTGAACAAATATTGCCTGACTTCAGGAGGAGGGGTCCCCCCTGGTTTAGCTAGTGGAAGTCAGGCTAAGCTTAGACTTTTGCTGTGAATAATCCATGAGGTGAATAATTCATACGTGGCCAACCAAGAGCTGACTTTTTAAAAAATTAATTACTTCCCTGTGGGGTCAGGGAATGTAAATCTGAGAGTGAGTCAAAGCAGGAAGGTCCCTTCTGTCTGGTTAGTGACAGCTCTTTCAGGGTTAGCCTCCCATTCCCATCACCCGCTTATGGACATAAAACTTTAGATCTGTTCTGTTTTTGTTTCTATCCCCAGCACCTCATATAGTACCTGGCACACAGTAGGATGCTTGATAAATGTTTATGACTGAATAACAACAACAATAGAATTAATGGGTAACTAATTAATTTGTCACTAATAATCATGTAATAATGTTGATTTATAATAGAACAATTACTATTCATCACAATGATGATTCACATTTCTATAATACTTAAAATTTTTCCAAATGCTTCCCTTATGACAATCCTGTGAGTTGGGTAGTGCAAGATTTTTTTTTCTCTTTCACAACAAGTTCCAAATTTCATGTATCATATCCTTCCAACATAGGCTATTCTCCTGATTTTACAAATGAGGAAAATGAAGCTTTAAGCCAGAGGTCTTTAACCTAAGGGTTTCATGGAGAGATTTTAGAAGGTCTGTGAACACGGATGGGAAAAAAAAATCACAACTTTATTTTCATTAACCTTTAACTGAAATTTAGTATTTCTTTCAGTTCTTTAAAAGAATTATTCTTATAAAGGACCCATAAACCTCACCAGACTGTCAAAGGGGTCCATGACCCAAAAAGGGTTCTGTCCTCCTGCTCTAAGTCACATATAGTTAATAAATTTATATGATCATAAATCATGGATTCAGGCCTTGAATAACCTTGGAGGTCAGTTAGTCCAACTAGGGTCAAGCTGGAGCCAAATTTTTTTTTTGGCTGATGGTTAAATTTCAGTGTGAGGATTTACACTTCAGAAATGAGCGGACACTATAAATCAGGACTTGATTTATTGTTTTATTGATTGTCTAGACTCAAGAAAATGATGGAGAAAATGGTAATAGTGCAGATTAAACCTAAAAGTGTGTTGTCATATAATTTGGGGGGAGAGTCTATTATAAAACACTTACCAGTACACTCCTGAGTCCAATCCCCTCATTTTAGGGATGAAAAAGAGAAGGCCCAGGGAACTTAACCAATTGACCCAAAAGTTTATAGGTAGTCAATGGCAGAATCATGATTTGAACACAGGTCTTCAATTCTAGACTATACTCTTTCTACTACACTACAATGGAAGATTTGAACCCCATTCTCCTGACTCCAGGTCCTTCAGTCTTTCTCCTATGCCTCATTGCCTTTTAAAGAGAATATTAATTCTCTTTAAATTAATTTAAAGAGAATATTAATTAAGCCTCCTCCTCGTACATTTTACATATGAGGAAACTGAGGCCCCAGCAGTATGTGCCTTGTTTGTGGTCACATTATGGCAAAACTAGGACTAGATTCCAGGTTTCTTGATTTTTTGCCCAGTACCCTTTCCCATGGTCCTGGAGTGGAGAACCTATGGCTTTGAGGCCACATGTGGCCCACTAGGTCCTCCAGCATGGCCCTGTGACCTTGGATTCAGTCGAAGGCTCACGCTGGTGGACCTAGAGGGCCACACGTGGCTTCGAGGCCACAGGTTCCCCAACCCAGCCCTGGGCCACATCCAAGCTCCCAAGTTGGTCCCATGGGTCCACATGGATTCCTCCACAGTGACAGATGCTCAGTGAGCTTCTATTTCTCCATGACCTCTTAGCATCTGTAAATCATGCCTCTCCTCTGTCCTCTTTCCTTCCCTCTTAGCCAGATGCTTAATTTCTGTGTGGTTTGGTGATAAATCACAGGGCTGATTTGACATGGAGATCTACGGCTCATCATCCTAACTTCAGTCTTTGCCATTTCATTCTTTCCCCAATCTGGTACAGATGTGCTCTATTTAACAAAGGCTGCAAGAAATCATTTTAATAGGTAGGCTCTTTTAGGAAGAAAACACACTGGAGTTGTCTCCTGCATGGGCCCAGTTTAAGCAAACCCAAACCTGGTAAACTGAGCAAGGATCCTTTGGCCCCAAGCATGGGGTGTTTAATATAGGTGGGAATTTAGACTTTTAAGTCTTCCAGTCTATGGCTGTCCCCCTCCCCTCCCTTGTCAATTCACTAGATATTTATTAAAGACCTGCCATGTACAAGTCACTCTGCTAGAAGCTCAGAATAAACCCAGTCCCTGCCCTCAAGGAGCTTTTTAATTAAAGTCAAATCTACACGCCAATCAATCAACAAGCACTTATAAAATGCTTACAACATGCCAAGCACTAGCATAGAAGAAGAATCCCTATCCTCCAGGAGGTCACTTTGTGTATTCATTCAAGATATGTACAGCATAAACGAAGGGTAATCTCTGAGGAAAGGTACTAGTATTGGAAGAGGACCAGAAAAGGCCTCCAGCTGAAGGTGGGATTTAAGCTGAGTCTTAAAAGAAACCAGAAAAATTTATAGGCAAGTTTTTAACTATCAGATCCAGAAAACTGAGTCACCCCAACAGCAAAACCAAAGGAAATATCCAGGAATCAGGAGGAGAGAGACAAAGGATCAGGAGCCCTTTAAAGTTGGGTTTAGATAAAAAGAAACATGATTGTAACTGTGGGAGGGTTGCCCGGGCATAGGTGTGCACAAGGATTTCATTGTCTTTAACCAAAGAAAGTGAATTCACTTTCGTGGTTTTCCCCCTTTCATCTGTGAGGGTTAAGCATTATCTTGCTTTTTTTAAAATTTGTCATGGAGCTCAACTTTTTTTTTTTTTTCCATTTCAGAACAAACGCCTTGTAAATATTGAAGTGTCGTGCCTTTCCAATACAGAGAAATAGGAAGAAAATCAACTGACCGTGAGTCTCTGTGTTAAATCTACTCCCCGCCCTTTCATGGTGACAAAGGTAAGTATGTGTTGCAAGAAAAAGTGATTTCTCCCTGGGCTATGAGCCAGGAATTAAAAATCATTTCCCCATACCCAAAGAAGCTGCAATGAATGTCCCCCTTCTAGTTACCAACCTAGTCATTAGTTTCCCTTCCTCTTCGTTCTTTCTTCCTTCAGCCCTCCTGTTTCCTTTTGTCTCCCTCAGGCTTTCTTCTTCCTTTCCCTCACTTTCATTTCCTTTCTTCTTCCTACTCTTTTTTTTTCCTTCTTCCTTTCATTTCCTTCCTTTCCTTCTTCTTCTCTCCCTCACTTCTCTTCTTCCATCCCTTCTAACCCATTCCCCAGTTTTTCTGCTCCCTTTTGTTGGTTTTGGCAGGAAAAAATTCAGGCAAGGTCTTTGATTTTGAAAGAAAATCAGAATAGCCCCTCACATAAACCACAGAAATGTTGAGCTCCATTACCTGAAACTCTGTGGATAATTGTTGGGTGGGGCTATCCTCAGAAAGCAGTTTTCGTCTCTCCCTGTGAGTTGAAGCCAAAAAAAAAAAGTGTTATTGTAGCAGCCCATTTCCTGAGCTGATACAAAAGCTGAAACAGCCCCTGAACTAAAATTAATTATCCCCTCCCCCCATAGCAACCTGACCAGGGGCCTCAACTTGGGGTGGTAGAAACAACAAGTATGAATCTGCAGACAGTGACTCCAGTGGAGAAAACGTGCACTTTGGACAGACAAATTCACTCAAGATCAGAGATTTAGAGCTAGAAGGAACCTTCGATGTCATCTAGTACCACCCCCTCATTTTACAGTTAACGGAAACTGAGGTACAGAGACTTGTTCAAGTTGCACAGGTCTAAGTGAATTTGAGCTCTGAGTCCAAATCCAGCATTCTTTCCCCCCATACTTCATGTGGCAGGAAACAGAAAAAAATGTGGCTAATATGATGAGGCAGTCATGTTAAGGACATTGGGAAACCATGATTTTCTAATTTAGACCTCATCCCTCATTTTCTCTAGGGGCCCAGAGTCTACCTCTCTTACTAGCCAATGGCAAACTGGCTTGGGCTTGGTTTCCAGTTTGATGTACCCTGCCTGGTTACCTCAAGTTCCAAACCTAGAGAACCAAAGATAATTCAAATGTTCATATTATGAAATACTCCATTTAAACGTGACTGCTTATTTACTTAAAATGACAAAAAAAAAAAAAAAAAGGATTCAAACTATTTACAACAGTGTAAATGATGTAAACTTTCTCCAATCTGGACACTTCCAATTCTAGACTTGCTTCAGTAGCAAATCTTAGCCCAGTATCTGCATCATTGTGCTTATAGTTAGGAGGACCTGAGAACAATTGGGCCAGGATCTGATATTTGGTAGTTGTGTAAACTTATATAAATCATTTAACTTCTCTGAAACTCAGTTTTCTTATCTGTAAAAAGGGGATAATGGTGCTTACATTACTTACCTCAAAGGATTTCTATAAGGAAAGTATTGTAAATTTTAAAACACTTTTATGAGAAAAGTCACTCCCCTACTCAAAGAGCCTTAATGGCTCCCTATCATTTCTCAATATAAATTTCTCAGCGCTTAACGATTTTAGCAGGCTTGCTTTATCCTACCTTTCCTGACTTTGTTTATATTATTCCTCTTTGATACTCTTTCGGTCAATCAAAACATTCTACTTGCTGTCCACTGTGCCTGCAGCGGGGCAACTAGGTGGCTCAGTGGATAGAGCGCCAGCCCTGAAGTCAGGAAAGCTGATTTCCAAGTTAAGTTGTGGCCTCAGACACTTACTGTGTGATTCTGGGCAAGACACTTAGCCCTGTTTGCCTCAGCTTCCTCATCTGTAAAATGAGCTGGAGAAGGCAATGTCAAACCACTCCAGTATCTTTGCCAAGAAAATCCCAAACAGGATCATGGAGAGTCAGATATGACTAAAATGGCTAACAACAAAAATGCCTAGAGCGTAATTCTCTCTTCTCCTCCACCTCTTAGAATTCTTAGCTTCTTTCAAGATTAGACTCAAGGTCCTCCTTCTGTAGAAAACTGTTTCTGATCCCTTGTATTCTAGTGGATAACACGTTGAACTAGAGGTCAGCAAATTCTTGGTTGCAATCACGCTTCAGAAAACATTTAAACAATTTAATCTCTCTGAGACTCAGAAAGGATAAATTTTAACCCCATCTATAAAATGGGGATAATTCCTATAGTATTTACTGTACAGAGTTTTTGTAAGGACAAAATGGGATTACATATAAATATATAGCACAATATATTTTATTATATTTATACATAAATAATATGTTATATTTATGTTTTAATATATGAAATATGTATTGAGATTACAAAACAATATATTTCTATATCCATGTACATTACATAAATATATAATATTTAACATATGTATCTATCATTTATATTATATAAATAACATAATATAACATGTAAATATATAATGCTTTGCAAAACTTAGAGCGCTGTATAAATGCCAATTGTTATCATTAATAGCCTTAGTAGTTGGTGCTCTCTCTCTCTCTCCTCAAACTTGTATTTACTTGTCTATGTACATGATGCACCCCTTTAGCAAATGTAAGCTCTTTGAGGGCAGGGACTAATTTATTTTTTTCATTTTGGCTTTGCCTTTCCAATTCTAAGTATAATACTTGGCATGTATTTGAATGGAATTGTTAAAGGTAGTGCATGGTAAGGGAAAAAAAAAAACACTGAATATAAAATTAAAGCACCTGATTTCCTCTCCTGGCTCTCTCTTATTCACTATCAATCAATCAACATTTATTGAGCACCTACTATGTGCCAGGCACTGCGCTAAGCACTGGGGATACCAAAAGATACGTAGCTACCCTTAAGGAGCCTATAAACTAATATGGGAAACAATACGTAAATAGTATATGCAAAGCAAACTCTGTGTTGGATAAACAGGAAGTAAGTAACAGAGGGAAAGCACTGAAATTGAGAGGGGCTGGGGAAGGCTTTCTGTAGAAGGTGGGATTTTAGTTGGGACTTAAAAGAAACCAGAGAGCTTAGCAGTCAGAGCAGAGGAGGGAGAGCATTCCGGGGATGGGGAACAGTCAGAGAAAATGCCTGGAGCAGAGGGATGGAGAGTCTTGTTCATGGAAGAGCAAGGAGGACAACGTCATCGGATGAAAGGTTTATGTGTGTGTAGAGGGGAGGGGGTACCTATTTAATATGGCTCACAGAGTTGGAAGGGACTTCAGAGACCATTTGGTCCAGCCAATCTATACCTGACACAAGATTCTGTTCTGTAACATACCCCATATGTGACATGCAGTCCTCCAGTATTTGCTCAAAAGCCTCTGATTACTTCTCAGGCAGCCCATTCTAATTTTGGATAGCTTTGATTGTTAGGAATTTCTTTTTCTTTCAATCAAGGCTAAACCTACATTTTTGCAACTAGTACCCAGCATCATTATTTTTCTCTTCTGGAGCAAGTAGAACAATTTCTTAAGGCTTTCATGTTGTTGTTGCTGTTCAGTCCTGTCCAACTCTTCATGACCCCATTTGGGGTTTTCCTGGCAAAGATACTGGAGTGCTTTCCCATTTCCTCTTCCAATTCATTTTACAGATGAGGAAACTGAAGCAAACAGGGTGAAGTAGGACTTGCCCAGAGCCACACAGATAGTAAGTGTCTGAATCTGGATTTGAACTCAGGTCTTCCTGACTCCAGTCCCCAGGCTCTATCCACTACACCACCTAGCTGCCCCATTCTTTCATATAAAGCCCTTCAAGTGTTTGAAAACAGCTATTGTCATCCTCCTAAGCCCTCCTTAATCTAGATTAAACATCCTCCATTCTTTCAACCAATTCTTATATGGACTCAAGGCCTTCCTCCATCTTGATCATCCTCATAGAGAGTCACATATCATACATTTATAACTGGAAAAGATTTTAGAGGTCATCTGGTCCAACCCCTTCATTTTAGAAATGGTTAAAATGAGACCCACAGAGGTTAAATGACCTGCCCAATATGCTCAAATGCCTTAGCATCTCTAAATTCATAAATGAAAAATTAATTGAATTACAATAAGACATAGTAATTACATAATGGCAGATTTCAATGACCAAGAGGTCTTTGAACAAATCTAACAGAAAGATTTTTTTTAAAGGGAAAATATAAAATTGAACAAATTGCTGGAGAAACTAGAGATAAAGACTTATGGCATCTTCTAAATGAGACTGCTAAAGAATATAAATATTTCTTAGTACCACATGGAACTTTTACAAAAATTGATGATGTATTTAGAGTACAGAGATATTGCAAACAAATGTGAAAAGGCAGAAATATTAAACACATTCTTTACAGACCATAATGCAATAAAAATAGTAATCAGTTCAGGGAGCATAAACAAAATACACAGACTCAAATGGAAATTTAACAGGGAAATCCTAAATGAGTGAGTCAAAAAACAAATCATAGAATCAATTAATTATTAATTATATGAAAGAAAAAAGAAGAGAAGGGATAATATGAGGGGTGGGGCTGCCAGCAAGAAAAGAGTAGAGCAAAGTGCGAATGGGGCCAGTCTGATAAAGTGAACCACATAAGATACTCCCCAATCAGACCAGCAGTATCTCAAAGCAGGAGTTCTGGAGCTGAAAAGGTTAAGTTCTCAGGGTATAGTCTCTGGTTCAGGTGGCAAGATGGCTGGCGATCAGATGTCCAGGGAATGACTGTTGACTCATAGGGAGCATGCAGTCAACTAAAACCCTGAGATCATTTGCAGATGCGCTCTTGCTTAGACATATTCTCCCCATCTTGTGCTTATGGCACTGAGTTTTTTTACACAAGTGTAAGCATCAGCATAACCACTATTAAATTCCATCTTATTAGATCCATCCCTACATTAAAGCCTGTTGAGACCTTTTTGGATCGTGATTCTATCATCCAATGGACCAGCTTTGTACCATCTGTAGACTCAATATTCTCAGCCATAAAAATTAGGGCATTAGGCAATAGGAGCACTAAAATCCCTTCTAGTTCTCTATGATTTTATAAATGTTGTTGTTGTTCTTCCATTTTCAAAGAGGTGGAGAGTGCGGTGAAGGTGCCTACTTCAGGGGCATGGTTTTGAAATACTGAAGCCAGGAGCAGGAGTCAGGAAGGAAATGAAGATTGCCCAGGGCCCCTCCACAAAATTATTGCCTCTAGAGGAACTCACAAAGGGGAGCAGGGTACAGGCATTAGAAATGGATATTCCAGATTGAGAAACCACAGAGGTAGGTGGATATTCTAGGGAGAGGAGGCCCCAAGTGTTAAGGGAAGTTCCAGCTTAATTTCAGTATGCTTAGAGTGTGATCTGTTTGGTTTATTACTAGATAAAGATGGTGAAAGAGCCAAGACATTCTGGGTCTGGGTTGGGCTAGTTCTGGTGACTGCTCACTAAGAAGTTGGCAGCTTTGTTTTCATTGGATGGCCAAAAAGAAATGAGAAACATCTTTTTTATGATACTTGGTCACATTGTATCTGGAAATACCTAGGA